CTATTTTTATTTTGTTTTTATATTGTTTCCTTTCCCCTGATAAGAAAATTACTGAACAGTGTAGTTTAGCGTTTTAGCGTTAAAATGAATAAGGATAAACAATTGATATTAATTAGCAAACTTAATTAAATTTTGCTTCAGGAGAATAATATAATTAAATGGATACAATCAGGAAAGTGCGTCGATTATGAAAACATAGTGAGACCACAAATTGATCCCTTCAAATCTTTGGCTCTATGTACAGGTATATATATGTATAGTGGTCCAAAACAATTACTTTAATTACTTTGTATATAGTTGGTAGGGAAAATGGGTATTCTATGACACGATCAAATTCACTCTAATCATTGGAAGTTTCCCTCCCTTTTGTTTCGCGAAACTGTAATTTGTAATTTAATCAAAGAGGCATACTCATGTCACACCTCAGAATTTCATCGATCTTATTTTATCTATATAATCTATAGAAAATATTATAATTTATGACAAATTTTTATTGTAACAATAATTTTAAAATATTTTTTGTATTTTCGAAAATTTTTTCCACTGCAAAATTGTTTATTTCGAAGTTTAATATAAAACAAAAGTTGAAATATTTATCAGGTTTTCAACTACATTTTATTTTAATTCACATTTTCTTTCTTCAGACGTAGAATTAAAATTAATAATTTTTCCCTATGAATTCAAATATAGAAAAAAAAAAAATAGAATTTATAATTTGAACTTATTTTTTTATAACCAAGAGCCACTTAACGGATGAAAAGAAAAAAATGTCTGATAATAAAAAAAAGAACAATTTGAAAGTGTCAATTCAATGGAACATTGAGTTAATTTTTTGCGGGTGGTTCTTTTCTTTATTACTTGTCATTTTCCTGGCAAGTGGCACTTGACTTTTTTCATGACACTATCATGCTAACAAAGTGAAAATTGAAACCACGAATAAACCGCAGCACGAGAAGTATCTATATATATACCTATGGGAAACGCGAAGCCTTTCTTTCGATGGGTTTAGGAAAGTCAGAATGTTTCTGATTCCTGACATACTTTCCGCTTAGTGTGTAAGTAAGTGTACTTGATTCATTGTAACGCTTCATTTTATATTAATATATTATTTAAGAGTCTATTGAACACGCTTTATATACATACACATAGAAAGTGATCATTATTGTACATTATATCGACACATTGTGTGATGTTGAGTTTTGCGGTTAAAATTCTTTTAAACACGCAAACACTGGTAGCATATTCGAGATGGAAAGTTCATCATGCAATTTAAGCGAGAGTGATGTTAGATAATTTTTTTTTTTTGCTGTAATATTATTCCTATATTGCAATTTTATCTATTTTATGAATAGGTGCATTTCATCTTTATATCTATATGGCAAGGAAAGTTTTTTGCTTAAAAATTTTTTTCCTCATGAGTTTATTTGAAATTATTTGCAATTTTTTTAGTACCATGATAATTATATTTAGGATATCCAATAGTTATTATTTTTCGATTAATTGTTATAATAATAATTGTAGTACATACATTTCTAATTTAAAGTATTAAATTGCAACGATTTGATACCAAAAATGTGTATTAAATCATAAATTGATCTCAATTTTGTTGTATCAATTTGATCCACTTTAATTTCAATTACATACTTTTAGGAAACCTCTGATATTTAGTATAATACTAATAATTAATAAATTATTCAGTAATAACAAAAATAATAATAATACTAATAAAATATTAATAATAATAACAATAATAATAAAAATAATAATTTTTCAGAAATAACATTTTCCCCTATTTCTTTGTTCAGAATTCGAATTTTCGGTTCAATTTTTTTCTACACTTGGTTTAAAAAAATATATTTTGCGAAATTAAATAAATTTTTTAATTTTTATTCTCACTTCCGCTTTTCCATGTTAGCTATAAAACTGGGTCTGGCGGATTGATCTCAAGATTCTTGATCTTCATTTTACAAATCGGGATATTGCGATCAAGAGAAGAGATGACTTTCTCCGCATTGGGCACTGGATGTTCCTCAAACCGAAGCTTGTTTGCAATGGCAGAAAAGAAAAATAATCGAAGAAAACGAGGTTTATCTAGTCGAACAACTTCGATATAGGTAGGCAAGAACAAAAAAAAAAGAAAGAAAGAAGAAAAGAAAAAAAAATTCCTGCTAGCACAAAGTTACTCGAGTAAAACATACGTACCGAACCATTTATGTTTCAATGATCGGAGTGATGAAGGTGTGTGGGGGGAGGAGGGGGAAATCCATCGAAGTAGATCAATCACAATTTTTAATTACTTCCGTTAATGGTATTTTAATTTTTCTTCTTTGCATGAATTAAATTCCGTTCAGGTGGATAATTATTGTTGCTTTTCTTTTTTTTAGTGTTGTATTTTTATTACGAAATGCGTTAAATCTTTGTGTTTTTTTATGCAATTTATGGATTTGCAATGAAAGGAAAAATTTTTTTTTTAAGTAAATTTATTTATTTGTTTATAGAAATAAATTTAGTAGTCTGAAGACTAATTAGAAGTAATAAACAATAAAAAATTTTTATGAATTTTTTTGAATTAATTTTTTATTAAAATTATTATTAATTTTTATGAAAAAATAAAAACTTTGCATACTATGGGGCATTTTTCCAAAATTGTGGACAAAATTCAAATTAAATTTAAAATTACATGAAACTTGTAAACTCGAGGGTTTCTGGGGAGACTGATCACGAATTCGATGTCAGTTTTGAAAAATCTAAAATGGCGGATTTAATATGGTGGAAAATTTTATAAAAATTCATTTTATAAGACTATTCAAATATGAATAACTATACCTAAACTTTTATTATTTTTTGTTTAAGTTAAAAATATCATGTTTATTTGTTTATTAAACTTAAACAAATATCATATTTACATAATGTATTTACTGCATTTATTATTTTACTCATTTTTAAACAATAAATTTCACTTTGCAACTTACTTTTGGTAGACACTTTTGTCTAAAAATTTAAGTATTCAAACATTTGGTAAGTTTGACAGTAAATATAATAACAAAAATAATTGCTTTTCCAAAATAAAACCCGATTTCTGTTACTCTAATATATATATAAACAACCAATTTCCAATGGGAAAAAAATTTTTAAATCTATCGAAAAATTTGAATTTTGGCCACAATTTAGGGAAAATACCCCATAGTGTTTTACAATGACAATAGTTTAACAAATAAGAATGAATAATTTATGAAAAAAATTTATAACAATCTTTAAATTGTTTAAACAATTAATTATTGTTATTTCTTTATAAACTGTAATTCAGATTAGAAATTTCTAGTTTTTTCTCAATTGTGCAATTTGTCATGAGTAAAACTTCTACTAATGATAAAAAATTAATTAATTAAACATTGTTTAAACAATTAATTGTTGTTTTTTTCGAAAACTAAACTTAGGACTAGAAATTTCTAGTTTTTTTTCAACTGTGCAACTTTTCAGAAGAAAAACATCTACTAATAAGAAAAATAAAAAATAAATTATTTAACATTGTTTAAACAATTTATTGTTGTTATTTTTTTAATAAAATGTACCTAAGGCAAGAAATTACTAGTTTCTTTCAAATTAGTCAATTTTTCATAAGTAAAATATGTACTGATGATAAATAATTAAAAATTACTCATTTAGAAATTGTTTAAACAATTAATTGTTATTTTTCTCGTAAAGTGTACTTTTTGTTAGAAATTTTTTGCTCTATTGTGCATTTTCTTGTAACTACAACGTTCAAATATAAAAACAATTTAAAAATTAATTGTTTAAACTTTGTTTAAACAATTTGATTTGTTAATTTTTGAATTAATTGTTTAAACAATTTAATATATAAATAATTTTTTATCATCAGTACAGGTTTTGCTCCTGAAAAATTGCACAATTTTGAAAAAACTAGAAATTTCCAACCTTAAGTACAATATTTATGAAAAAAATTACAGTTAATTGTTTAAACAATTTAACAAATAAATAATGTTTTATTTTTTATTATTAGTACAGGTTTTGCTCCTGAAAAATTGCACAATTGAGAAAAAACTAAAAATTAGGTCTTAAGTATTGTTTATGAAGAAAATAACAATAATTAATTGTTTAAAGAATGTTTAATTAATTTGTTATCATTAGTAGAAAAAAACTATAGAAATTTCTAGTCTTAAATATAGTGTATAAAGAAAATAACAACAATTAATTGTTTTAACAATGTTTAATTAATTTTTTATTATTAGCAGAAAAAAATTAGAAATTTCTAGTCTTAATTATAGTGTATGAAGAAAATAACAACAATTAATTGTTTAAACAATGTTTAATTAATTTTTAATTTTTTATCATTAGTAGAAGTTTTACTCATGAAAACGCTTGCACAATTGAGAAAAAAAATCGAAATTTCTAGTCTGAATTACAGTTTATAAAAAAATAACAACAATTAATTGTTTAAACAATTTAATAAATTGTTATACTTTCTTTTCTAAATGAGAAACACTCAAACATTATTTTAATAGATTTTTTGATTAATTTTCGCTGATAAAAAGTATTTTTTATGATTTTATGAGTTTTTTAATACCTATAGTTAGTAAAAAAAATGTTTAAAAGCAAAAATTCGAAAATCGGGCTCGAGAGATCGATAGAGAATTTAATTACGAAGATTTAGAAAAGAAGAAAAGTCGTTTTGTTAAAAAATTGTGACATGTAGAGTGATTTGAAACGAAAAAGTACATAATTTCGCCACTGTGAGACGTATTTGTCGGCGGGAATTTATTTTTGGACCATTGTGCATTCGGCAATGAAGAAAATTGACTCACTGAAGAAATAATAAGAAAAGTTTACTTTTCTTCCTTTAAAGTTTAAAATTTACAAAATTTTACTTTTTTCTCTAAATTAAAAATTGAAGTTTCGAACATTTCGAAAATAAACATTTTTCAGCGGCTGGGATTTAAATTATAAACTATATACACACATAGGTGGTTTTGGAAACTTACAGAGTGGAGTAGCATATCTTCCGCCTTAATGCATGAACGAGTCTCACTTGTGATACGTTTTAACAGGCAGAGAAGATGTATGACCTCGCGTATATTTCCTTCTCTCTCTCTCTCTCTTTCTCTCTTGCTCTTTTCTCTCACGATCTTATGGAGAAACAGGAAGATGTGCACTATCTAAGTTCCCTTGCCGAGTGAGGTGAGGCCTCTTTACGCGAGATTCAAACCGAGAAGAGTCTTTGTCGTTATACGCACTGGGGAGAGAAACAGTATACACTGTTTCGCCCTGACGCGATCCACTTGACTTAACTCAAAGCTCCAGTTATCCCCACACACACACAATCTCTCTTTCTCTCTCTTACTCTCTCTCTTACTCTCTTTATGAAGAGAGTCTGTTTCAAGACTTCTCCCCTTCCATCAGTAACAATATATGTCTCCGATCTTTCCCTGAGAGTGTATTTGTATGTGTTTATAATGCACTTTGCAGCACTTCTGTGCATTTACAAACACAAAAGTGTCGTTGTCGTTGTATTGCAGCCAAAAAGCCAATTCCCCACCTTTGGAAAACAATGCTTTCGCCTATAACATCGTCACAGGATCAGAGAAAGTTACTTTGCAATTGCTTCCTTATGGAGGATACTTTGTGGTATTTTTTTCTCCTTCCTTTTTTTTTTTAATTTCTTAAACGACAATATTATCTATACTCAATATTTATAATTTTCTAATAAAATTTGTTTGTTAGAAATTTAACGGGTTTCGTAATAATTTAGAGGCTGGTGTGTTTTTTTTTTTGTGAGTTTAAACTCGAGATTAGTGGAAATTGCTTCTTTTAAAAAAAAGAAAAAAGGAATTTAGTTCAATTTTGCTGATTTATTCTCAACTTGTTTATAATAAGTGGCTTTTTATTATGGAACCAATTGAGAAGATTTTTGTCCGTTTATCTTTAAATTGCATGCGAGGGAATTTGTTCCTTATTTCTAAAAAACTTTTTTAAAAAATCGTGAAATGATCGGTACTTTGAATTTAGTAAAATTTCTGCAAATTTTTTGGTCATTTTTAGATTAAAATTTTTTTTTTTATATTTAAACTTTTTTGATACCGTAAAAATTTTTTTTAAATTTCAAGAAAGAATTCGATTATTTTCTAAAATTTTAATAAATCCTTCTAAACAATTCAATTATTTTTTTAAATAGTCAAATCTTTACGAAAATTCAATGATTTTCAAAACAATTTTAATTGAATTCCTCGGATGAATTCGAATATTTTAAAATATTTCCATAAATTTCAATTATGTTCTAAAATTTTTTAAAATTCTTCGAAACAATTCAACTATTTTTATAAATAGTAAAATTCTTCACAAGAATTCAATTATTTTCAATTCACTTTTAATAAATTTTTTCTTCATAAAATTCAATTGCTTTCAAAATTTTTAATTAAAATTATTAAAGAAACTCCATTAGTTTAAAAAAAATTCAAAGAAATTCTTCAAAAGAATTTAATTAGGATTTTTAAAAATTTTAATAAAATTCTTTGCGAGAATTTAGTTATTTTCCTAAATAATAATAAATCTTTGAAGGAATTCTATTATCATCAAATTTTTTGATAAAATTCTTTGACACAATTCGATCATTTTCAATACATTAATTTTAAAGTTGAAAATATTTGAAAAAAAAAATTATAAAAAAAGTTAAGAAACAAAAAGCAAACAACATCTAACTTCAAACTGCAATCAAATTACCGGAACATGTACTTTATTATTAATAATTAAATAATGTTATAATTATTTTTATTTTATAATTAATTCAAAATTGTAAAGACAAATAGAAATCATCAGAATTTTTTTCACTTCTTTTCATTAAAAGACTTAAATTTTGTTAAATATTATGTTTTGTCAAATTAAAATTATGCAGATTTTTATTACTTCTTAAAAAAATTAGAAAATTGTTAAACAACTGTGATTAAGAAATAGAAAATTTATTTATTTTGCATTATTTTTGTTTAGGAATCACAATTTTTTTAACAAAATTAAATTATTTAAATTAAATTATTTCATCATTTTAATTCAATTATTATTTTCTAGAATTGTAAATAATTTGTTATAAAAATAATAATTGAATTCCTTAAAAAAATTTTATTATTTATTAAAATAATTAAATGTTTGCATACAATTTTATTAAATTTTTTTTTAAATAATTGAATTCTTTTTGGGAAATTTTATTAAAATAGTAAATATTGAAAATCATTGAAGTTAGAAAATTTTTTGGAAATAATTGAAATTAGGACAAGAATTTTTTTGACATTTATGAAAATAATTGAACTTTTTAGAAGAATTTCGTTATTTATAAAGATAATTGGGATTTTTACGACATTTTTTTTTTAAATTTTCTAAATAGTTGAATTTTATTATTTTTTTCAAATAATTAAATTTCTGCAATTATTTGTAATTTCTCCAAAATTGAATTTTTTTAGTGTTTTCAACAAAAATTTAAATTTGAAAATTTTGAGACTAACACCTAACAGACTGCCAAGTAAGGAAATTACTTACACAAATCTTTTTAATGACATTTCTGAATTTTCTTTTGTTCAAAACGATAAATTATGATAGGAAAAATTAAATTTGTACAATGTTCACACAAAAGTATAATTTTATTAATGTAGATGATAAATTACAAAGTATGAAGTACATTGAGACGCATAAATAGACACAAATTTCGGTTTTCCAATTAAATATTTTCACACTAAAACGTTTTACATAAAATGCAAATAAACTAATTTCTAGAACGTAAAATAAAATTTAAATTTTGTATACAAATTATTTAGGAGCATGGAAAATAATAAAAATCTTTAAATATACGACAAAAGGAAAAAAATTGAAGAAAATTATTATTAAAATTACTTATCATTTACAATTATTAAATAATTATTGCAATAGTTGTGAAACATAAAATTTGTTGAAAACTTTTGTAACTGGCAGAAAATTACAACTTTTGCAAAGAACCGACAAAATAGACTCATCATCATTTCATGCTTAACACCAAAAAATATTAACTTTTTTAAAGTAGCATTTCTTCAGTTAAATAATTTTTGCTTTGAAAGAAACAATTTGGTAAAACAAATGCAAATTTTTTGTTCACCGAACAATGATTCAACTAAAAATTACAATTACAATAAAAAATCCAAACTTAACATGAAAAACACAGAAGAAAGAACTGTATAGCAATGCAGTTAATTTAATTGTATCAAACAAAATTTGGTTGTTAAAAAAAGTTCTTGCTAAGTGAGATTTGTTTTTATCTTTTTTCAAATTCGCTACTCACTTATACTCGCATCATTTTTACGCGGTTGTACTGATTAAAATATTTTATTTCTTCTTTTTCATACTTTTCGATATTATTCGCCATTTTTGCAAGCCATTTTGAAGTTTCACGAATACGTACAGTTTTTACTTTAGAAAATGCTACTAATCCAAAGATTGTGTTGTAAACTACTGGACCATTTACTATCTTCAATTTTACATCAGGAAGAAAAAAGTAAAGCTTTTTATTATTTCTTTGTATGATTTTTTCTAAATATACTATCAACTTGCGATCAGTTATTACATATTCATAAAAAGTCCAGTATAAAGTAGAGTTATTCAAATCAGCAATAGAAGAACTTGAGCTTATTTCTGGATGAATCTTTTTGCTACTGCACAACGAAAAGTTTCCTGTTTTAAAAATTTCTCCCTCGACTTTGTCGTAAATGACACTCGCGTCTACTAAATGTCTAGAATAGCAAATAATTGGTGAAAAATTGAAATCTAAATTTTGATTGTACTGTCGAAGAGCCAAACTATATAGTGCTCTTCTCATTCTCCATCCTACGGGATTTTCTTTTCTAACTTGATTAAAATTTTTTCCTAGAATCTGAATAGCAAAATAATTCTCCAATGAAATTAGTTTACAAAAATTTTTTTTTGTATAATCTTGACATGTTCGTAGAATTGAAACGTTAAGTGAATTTTGAAAGATTTCGTTTTGAAGTTTGGTTAAACCTTTAATCATTTTATCCATTTTTAAAGGAATTGATTCGACATAATTACTAAATCGCAATAATTTATATAATTCTGGATTTTCCAGTCTATGCGACTCAATCCATTTTGGTTTTTGTAGAGTTTCGTTTACATATTCAGCATATTTATATATTTCCTCCTTGTTAAAAACAAAATCATTCAACATCAATATTTGACCTTCATTAAAATAATTATTTTTTATTTTAAGTTTTAGATTTTCTTCCTCCAAAAACTCAAGTATTCGATCATCATCGAAAATTGTTATAGATTTAAAAATTGGCAATGTAACAAGTGTAATTGTTATAATGTTTCCAAGAACAACAATTAATTTCATTTTTAATGAATAATGTTACAATTTTTTTCAATATAATTAATTTCGTATAATAGTATATGTTAACGAAGTAATTAATAGACGTTAATTAATTTACTCTTTGTGCTGTTGCAAATTATTTTTCTTTGTCTTAAGAAACCTTTTCTTCTCTCGAGCATTCAATTAATGATCTATAATATAATATTTAAAATACATTTAAAAATTTTTCTTAAGTTTGCTTGCTCTTTATGGTATAGTTTCATTAATTTGAAATATCAGTTTAGAGAATAATAATTCTTTTAAAAAATGCTTATTTTTAAAGTTTATACTATCTAATTGTAAATTATATAATATAATTCGAGAGCATAATTATTATGATAATTAATAAGAGAATTAAAACATTATTTAGTACCTATATAATTTCGATGACGAAGAAACTGTACAAAATAATTTCGCGTAAAATAAAATTCAAAAAAGTGGTTTTTATATACTGAACAAAAAAAGTATAAATAGTTATTTAGAATGATAGAAATGTTAATTCGATATAATAATTAAGAGAAATTATAGTTCAGTTAATTATAAATTTTGAAAAATTACAAATTAAAAAATATACAAATTATAAAAAACTAAAAAATATAAATAAATTTAATTTTTTAAGAATTGATATTTCGTTGATAGGAAAGTTATATTAAATAATAATTCGTGAACATAATTATAATAATATTACTCAATGTTAAATTATAATAATATAAATAAAATAGTTGAATTATATTTTATTATAAACGATTATAAATTATATTTAAAAAAAGAAATAATTCATAAAAATCAAGTGGAATACGATTTCATGCTTTGTTAATAAAAAAATATATATTGACGAACATATGTTAGTTTGCAAGATAAAGAACAATTCTGAAAAAAAATTATGCGCATGTAATAAAAAATGAAAAACGAAAGAACAGTTTTTTTTATTATACTTTTCTTTGTAAATTGATAGAATGTGAAATAAAATATAAATTTAAATATGATAAAATCAATATTATGCGAAGAATTTTGTTTTTAGAGTGCTTGAAATATTTTGAAAAATATATTTTGTTTTTCAGTTTAGAAACAATGAAATTAATTTCTATAACTGTACAAGATTTTCTCTTTAATTTCCGAATGTCTTTTTTTTACATAGTTTCCGAAATTAGAAAAAAAATTTTTAATTTCAAAGAAATTAAATGTTTTTCCTATTCAAAAAAGAGAGTATTTCGTACTTCATATCAAATTTTAATTAAATATTTAAAATATTTACATCGTTAAGAATTATTTAACCCCTTAACTGTTTGAGGAAAATACAACATGATTGTCCTAAACTGCCCAGCGGAATCTGATACTTTTTCAAATAGTGTAATATATTTAAATTATAACTAATTATTTAATTATTTTCTAAAATATCATTAATGACCCTTATAATTTCTTATAATATTGATATAAAGAAAAATGTCTATCAATTTATATACAAATTATATATTTTTGAGTGATAGTGAACACGACCCACGGGTGGGTCGGAAACAGTTATGGCCATACTTTTTCACGACCCACCCGTGGGTCGGAAACAGGCAACGGGTTAAAAGAAATATTTTCTAATAAAACTAATATAATAAATAATAATTATTACCTTAATTCATAATTTCTATTATAATCAATTTTATTGTTATTATTAGTAGTAATAATAATATTATTATGTTTAATAAAAATGTTATATTATAATATTATTTACAAGAAAGGTATTGTTTCAGAATGTTTTACCTCTTAAGCCAGTGATATTTCGTCCACTATTGATGCGCAGTTTATGTCAAAGATTATAAAGAAATTGTCGGCAATAATAAAAAATTATTTTCAATTTGTTGTCGATAATATTGATTTCAAACTCATTTTTTTTCAAAAAAATATGAATATAGTCATTAAATTTAAAGAAGATAAAAATAAATTTTCTTCTATGAAAATTCAGAAAAGGAAACAATACTTTTTTAAAAATATTCTTTTTGTTTAAAACCAACATTAAATTTTGAAAAATTAACTTCAGAAATTATGTTAATTTTAATAAAATAAGGCAAACTCGAGAATTTTTTTGATATTTCTAGTAAATCAATTAAATTTTATTGTTTCATATTTAATTTTTAAAAAATTCTAATGTAATTATATCTGAAAGAGAAGTAATTTTTTAATACAAAATACCGGTTCAATTTAAAGTTCCAATCGATTTGAATTTCTGTACAATTTCCTTTTGATTATGAATTTCCTCTCATCTATCTTGAGTTAATTAGCTGGACTCAGTTTGTCAAAGAGTGACAAGAGGAAGATAAATAACCGAAATGGCTATCATGCGAAATGAGCGAAGCAGTGTGTTGTCTCAGTGTTGACAACTTTGGATATCCATGTGCATCAGTCAAACAGATAAAAATTGCAAAATTTAAAAAAATAAATCAAATTTTATATAAAATAATATAAAAATAAGTAATAATTTAATTCTTAATAAAGATAATAGTATAATTCCATCTAATAATATTGTATACTTTTTTCTTACAGTAATTGACAGTGTCTTAAATAGAGAGTGAGAGGAGGAAATTTACAATTTGTAAAAAAAATAATTGTATATTTTAAGGAAAGATTAAATAATACAAATACGGTAGAATAAATACTTAATGGCGCAATATTATATAATTGGAAATTACCATAAAAGACTAAGGAAATAAAAATTTTATTTTAACACATATTCTTTAAAATGTTTATCTACTTTAAAATATTTTTCAATATAATTACCAATTTTTCAATATAAATTTACTTTTAATTTACTTTTTGATTTACTTTTTACTAATTTACATTTACTTTTTACTAATTAAAATTAAAAATTAGATTTTAGAGAATTTAAAAATGTATTTTTTAAAAATATTTAAAAGTATTTAAAAACGACTTACAATTCAGTGAATTTTTAGAATAATTTCCTTAATTTATTAAATTTGAAATCTAAAATATTTGTTTTCTCAAAATTTTCTCACGGTTGAAAATGATTGTCCTTTTGACTTGATCTTGTAGCATTGTCCTTTTGTCTAAATCAAATATTCTCTCTGACGGGACAGTATAGAAACGTTCTCTCCATAGCCAAACATTCAATCAAGAGAAACATCAGACACATGTTTACTACCATTTACAACTGTGTTTAGCTTGGACTTTGAACACAAATATTTGCATCATATAGACGGTAACAGGAGGCAAGAACAAATTAGAAGCATATGTTTTCAATTTTATTACTTAAATTCATATCATATGAATGTCAACCGAAATATTTTTCTTTTCATCATCCCTTATAAAATTGGTTTCGATTTTTAATTTTTAATTTATTAATTTCTGATTTTAGGTTCTTAAAAAAATCAGTAAAAAAGATCGTTTTCAAGTCAAAAAACAAATAAAAAAAAATTTTCCAAATTAATAAAACTTAAGGATTAATGAATTTGATTCTTTTTTTATTAGAATATTTTTCCCTTGTGAGTTTCTTTACAAACTTTCTTAAAATACAAAACGTAGAATGGAATTTTCAACAAAATAAGAGAAGACATGCCAATAATTTGCCGAGGAACTTTAATTTTCTAATTTATTGTATAAAATTGTCATTTGTTACTTGACTCACAATTGAATTCTTGATTTGAAATTGTACTAAATAGCATTTTATAAAGAGAGAGATAGAGATGGAGAAAAAGAGATCAGAAGAAGACAATTGTTTCTGCATACCATGAGAAGAAATTGCTTTATCGAAATGCAGTAATAAAGGATATAAAAGACACCTATTTATATGTGTGGACTTAAACTGTGAAAGAGTGAGAAAAGTATGTGCACATAGCTGAACGAGAAAGTGACAAAGCCATCGGTGTGGAAATAGGGGGGAAAATATAAAAGAGAAAGAAAGAAGAGTGATGAAGAAAGAGAGAATGTGATTTAACAACGGAAGATAAATATTTTCTTTCTTTTTTACTAAATTAATTTTTAAGGTACTAAATCGAAAAAAATTTGCAAATTAGAACAAAATTGGTTAAAGAAAAAAAAAATTTAATTGACGAGCAAAATTATTTAAAGTTTAAGCAGAAGTTAATTTTGTACGATTAAGAAAACTTGTTGCTTCTAGAACTACGCTAAGGATTAATTTTTTAAAGTTAGTTTTATTAAATTTTTGAAGTTAATTTTATTAAATTTTGAATTTGAATTTCATTAAATTTTGAATTTTAATTATAATGTCAGATTCGGATACAGCGATCCCGAAAACCCCCGAGAAACTAAATTCGTTCGAATAGCTTCTATTCTGAAATTATCCGCCATATTGGATCCACCATTTTGAATTTTGAAAATCTGACCTCAAATTCAAATTCAGTGATTCCAAAAATCATAATATGATAAAATCATATTTTTAAAACTTTTTTTTCCGACCGTTTGGTAACTAGACTGCGAAAGCTTTCATTATTTTACCCGAATAAAAAAAAATAAGTAAAAGAAACTAAGAAAAAAATAGAAAATACAATAAATAGAAAAATTAGTAAATAAATAGAAAATACAAGAAATAGGAAACCAAAAATATATAAAATGTTATAAATAAAAAAATAGTAAATATAAATATAAAAAAATAGAATGCAACAAATAAAAATTAAATAATAATAAATTGAAAAATAGTAAAATATAAAATACAATAAATAAAAAATTGTAAATGAATAAAAAATATAAATACACAATCAATATCAATAATAAATAAATAAATAAATAAATAAATTCAATTAAAAAAAAATTTAGAATAAAAATAACAATAAAACGAGAAAACTTTAAAAATCTATGAAAAAAATGAAAGAGTTAAAAAGCAAAGAATCAACAGTAACTGAATATTATTGATTTTTACTAAAAATTAATTTTGTCTATTAATAATAAATAAGTAAATAAAAAATCCAAGTGATTTAATATTGAAACATTGATTTCCTGTCCCTTAATGATTTTATATCAACTTACGTGTATTTGTACTTATTACGTAAAAAGTTGATTTGAGAAAAAAAATGATTGCAATACGTGACTCGGTGATTTAATAAGCTTGGAAGGACACTGTGGCGACAGTAACGGATATATAATTTTTTTTTTTGATAGTAACGATAAAATAAACTCGATTTTATAAAAATTACTTATTGATAATGTACCATTCTTTTTTGGGGAAACATTTTTTTTTATCATCAAAACTGCTCTTTTATTTACCTTCTCTTTTTTCGAAACCACTTTTTTTCATCCTCAGAACAGACTTTTTAACTTCTTTTCCTTCTTTTTTCGGAAAACAGTTTTTTATCATAAAAACTGTCTTTTTTTTAGAAGAAAAGTGTTTACCTTTAAACATAGAATATTAAATGAAAGCGAAACATTTTACCTCTTTTCACAGAACTCGCAACATTTTCATAGCGTGGAAATATTCAAAATCTCCTGGAAATTATTAAATGACTAATATAACGGAGCAAATTAGTGAAAGTCTATAATAAGAAAGTATGAAATTCTCTGCAAAATTAGATACATCAGTATAGTTTTGTCAAAATTGACACAAAGAATAATGATGATTCGTCTCATTGGATTATTAAAAATAAATGGGAAGGAATTAGTCTACTTTTTTGTTGCTTTCAATATAAAAAAAATAAATAAAAATTTATAATTTTATAATTAAAAGTTACTTAATAGTAGATTAGAAATTAAAAAGTAGGTATTTAATATTAAATAAAAATTTGATATTAATTTATTAATTATTATTCATCAATACAAGAACAAAAAAATCTTTACTCTATTATTTATCAATATTTATTATTTATTAGATTATTAGATATTATTTAATTAATAATTAATTAATAATTAAAGTGCAATAATATAATATTAAGAAGAAAATAGAATACTAATTAATTAATAATACTAATACTATAGTCAATTAAATATTTTTTAAAAATTCGTTACTAAAAGTGAATATTATGTAAACATTATTCAAAAAATAAATACTAATTAAATACTTCCACTATCAGGAAGCAATAATTATCAAAAAAATTGCCGTATTATTTAAATATTATTTAAATATTAATTTAAAACTGAATAATAATTATTGAATTTTAATTAAAAAGTGAACTCAATTTCAGGTATAAATTGAAAAGTAGTTAAATATTACTTAAACACTGAATACTAATAAAATTTTATTTCAAAACTTAATGCAAATGAAATCTGAATTAAAAATCGAATATTATAACTTCATTGACGAATTAAAAATTTTCAATCTGAAACTTGAGAAGACTTTAAGAAATAAGGAACTAAATGAATAAACTATAAAAATAAGAATGAAAAGAATTAAATTAAAAAAATAAGTAAATGAATAATATTCGCTAACATCCGGCGATTGACACAATTTCTAAAATGCAGACAGATAAATTATCTTTCGCGAAGACTTTATACCTCTTCTATAAAGTGACGCCCAGTTAATTATTAATGCTCGCCGAGTTTGTGTGCGATAAATTCGAAAATTTATTACCGATATCGCGCATCGCCTCTAAATAAATTGACGTGAAGAGAAAGAAAAAGGTGTATTTTCATCATCAGACAAAAAAAAAAAAAAGAAAAAAAAAATCTTCAAATGAAGTATAGAAAATTAGAAAATGAGATTTCCTATCATTTCCGCATTACTCAATTAAAATTCACGTCACTTATTATAAATTTTAACTTGACTTCTCGAACAACCAATTAAGACATATATTCGCTAATGGATATTGTAATTGATTAGGTCAGTCCTCTAAAATATGCGAAATAGAC